AAAATGAGGATTATAATATTAAACAACCTAGGTTGTTGTGAAGAAAGCACTTTGAAAAAATTAAAGCATTATATAAAAATAGGTTTTTAAAAGAAAACTTTTTAAAGAGAGTTTTGCTACTGACTCCTCTCATATAGCACATTATTTTATTTTATTTAATATTATAGGATAAACCAAAATTTTGTTCATAACAAATTCAATTTCATTTTTTTCTGTAGAGAAATGAATCCCTAGCATTATGGTATATATGTCCACCTAGATATATTTGTAAAGAACAACCATTACTGGTAGTTTTTCCTATGCAATAGTGCTTTTGTCATCTTTATGTTATTGTTTGACTGGATATTTTCCCACAGATCAGAAAACTTTCTAGAATATTAATTTATTGTCTTTACTGACACTCCCACTTCTAACTAGTCTAAATTTATTTCTGTACTGTTGATCAAGTCATCTTCTTTGTGTTTTAATGATTGTCTTTCAATGTTAAAATAGATTTTAAAAGAAGACCAAAACAAGTTCCCTAGCTTATATGCTTGATGCTAGGGAGTACAGATGGATGTAGGGTTAGAGACTATCGATAGATAAGATCACAAGTGCAGTTGTATATGCTTAATAATGTGAATTTTTTTTTGCACAGGTTTAACATATTAAACAGTTGCTCCCTGTTGTAATGACCTTTTTGAATCCTAGAATTTCTTCGAGACACTCTTCACTGGGGTTATGGTTGTCATCCTAGCCTACCTACATCCATTATTCCAGTGCTCAGACAGTCTATTAGTTTTAGCTTCCTCTTCCTTTTGTGAAAGAGCAAGGATTTTTGTTGTTCGGGTCCTACTGTAATTTCTATCGCCTTCTGGCTGAAATAGCATAATCTTCAACATCACTTTCCTCAACAATTTAACTGACTTTTTATTTCTGGATCTGCCTTGGGGATCCCATTTTCCATAACTATCTATCTATGCATTTATCTATCTATCTGTCTATCTATCTATCTTCTCTCCCATCTTGGCTGTATTTTTGACCTGCATTCTCAAATTCTGGATGTCATGTCCTTTGTGTTCTATTCCTCGATCAGCTAATTCTAATGAATTCTGTCCCTCACCATGAACTTTAAATTCACCAAGCTGAATTATCTCTGCTATTTTTATCTAAACATCTTCTTTACCTTTTCACCACATGCCCTTTGTACCTCTTTTTCTTTCATAGGAGTAATCCCAGTCCCCAACTCTACCTCATCACCACATACAGATCCATGTTTGCAATATCAGTATTCAAATTTGTGAATTCACATGACAAATTTCTAGGTTGAAGGGAATTCCCAGGTGGTTTCTAATTCTTCAAGAGCTATAATGTCATTGGTGTACCTTTCCATCGATATCAAGTGTAGCTTCTCCATGCCTTAGGAGCTAGAATCAATATTTTTGGTAGTCAAAATAAATGATCATGTAGTAGCTGGCTTTTTGGTGATGAAACTTTCCAAACTTAGCTTAACTTGTCTGGCTCATACCTGACTTCATAAAATCTGTCACAGCTGTGTTCTGCCAGTATAATCTCAAAGACTAGGTCACCCCACAGCAACCATGATTGGACATCAGAGTAGGACTTTTGTAGAATAACATTCCATAGCACTATACACACACACACACACACACACACACACACACACACACACACACACATATATATATAAAGCACCTATTATGACTTACATTTAGAATCTGACAGAGAAACCTTGGGATAGCCCTTCATTTACATTTTAATACATTACTAGGAGAGTTCTGTAATTTACAAAGTCAAGAAGCGTGGATTTTGCCACAAAACATTTTGCCCTCTGATATAGATACAGACTGCTAACCTTTGCCTTTGCAGTTACTAGGTAGGTCCATTCTCTATCTCTTCTCCCATTCAGTCCCAGCTTATAGCCTCTTTGATGACTAAGGATAGCTCATTGCATCTTCTCTCTCCCTTCTCTGAGCTTTTCCCTGAGTCATTCCTAATGTGTGAAAAAGCCTCCACCCTTTTGTCAACCAAAATACCAACCTTTCACTTTGTGATTTAACTTCAGCTTTCCTTCTTTTGGGATGCTTTTTCTTATTAATAAATAAAAATAAGTAAATTCTTATAAATAACATTTACAAGAGCACTGATTTTTTTTCCAAAACCGTCTCTTCCTCTAAACAATTGATTGTAGTTACAAAACTTTTTTTCCCCCCATTTTGACCAATGAAGATCAACAATTTTTCTGCAGCTTTTAGTCTCAGATTGCTGCCTGGAACATTGAGAAATTCATGCTTTACCTAAGGTCGCATAGCAGTATGTGTCAGGGTCAGGACTTGAATCCAGGTTTTCCTGATTTTGAGGCTTATTCTCTATATACTATGCCAGGTTGCCTCTCTTATTAAAAAGAAAACAAAAACAAACATTTACATGTAGTCATATTGATTGAGAATTCATTGATTGAAAAAATATTGAAAAGAGAAATTGTGTTTTACCATTCATTCTAGATACTTCTGAAGTACCTTCTAATAAAATATATGTTCTAGTGAGCTTGCCCTTTTTTATTTTTTTATCCACATGTTGCTAATCCACAGAGTCATATTCCAACATTCATCTCCTCTCCTGTCTCTGAGAAATTGTATTGTTGTCTTTGTCTTTTGTTATTGAAGAGGATCATGACAGCAGGGAGATGATAACATGACTTTCAACTGACTTTGATTTGAGTGAGGGAAGGCTGTGCAAGGTCACCAGCCTCACTTTCTCCTCCAGAGTCATCTGGGTCCAGTGGCCAGATGTTCATCAGGACAACTGGAGGTAGCTCAGGATACACTGGGAAACTGTCAAAGAAATGAAGCAGTGTTGGAGGAAGTCACAAAATCTGGCTGATGAATTAGGTCCGCTGCAAATGTATGTTGTTATGTCTCATTGGAACTCACCAAATACACATAGCAATCCTATACATCTCTGATTGCTTCTCTATAATAAGTTGGAAGTGATCATTTAGGATCTCCTTCCTTGAGCTGCCAATTCCCCTCTTCCCAAGAGATGACATATGACTGCTCTTTTTACTAATTATTGAAGCTATGTCAAAATTATCAGCTTTGCCTCGTGGCTTTCCTCTATCTAGAGTTTTAAAAATTCATCTTTATCTTCACCTATCCTTTTATCCTTCAGCCTATTCTAGAAAGATCATGAAACTGAATTTCTTACCAAGGCCAACCTATATCCTTATGCTCTTGATTCCATTTCCTTTCATCTCTGTCAGTATCTTTCTCTATTCTTATTTGGCTTCAATGAGGCTTTTCTCTCCTTTTTCTGCTTCTTTTGCTCCTCTTCCTCTGTAAGAATGAGACACTCCTCAAGGCTATATCATCACTTTTTCTTCTCTCTGTAATCTCTTCATTGGCAATTTCAACAAATTTTACGGCTTTACAGGATTTAGAATTGGAAGAGACCTTAGATGTCATTTAGTCTAATATCTCATTTGACAGATGAGGAAACTGAGGACTGTAAAAATAGGCAATGGCTACATTTATATGGGATTTTAAGAGTTGTGAAGCAGTTTACAAACATCTCATTTTGTTCTCACAATTACCATCAAAGGTAGATGCTATTACTAAATCCCTTTTTACAGATGAGAAAACCGAGGGAGGCAGAGGTTAAGTGACTTACCCAAAATCATGCAGCTAGTAAGTGTCTATGGCTGGATTTGAACTCACATATGCTTGATACCAAGTTCAGTACTCGATACATTTTTTCAATCTGCCTCAAATGTCACACAAGTAGGAGAGATAGGATTCAAACTCAGTCCTCTGACTGCAAAGTCTAGTGCTTTTTCATAATGCCATGTGGGAATCTCTTTGCAAACTCTCACATCTATACAGCTAGTCTCTATCTCTTTTCTGAGCTCCAAGTCTGTATTTCCAAATGTTTATTGGATATCTCTGTCTGGATAAAAAGTAGTTGAATTGTTGCATTGCAAACTGACTACCCAAACCTGAACATATCCCGAACTATTTTTCTTCTTAATATCCTAATTTCTCTTGGCAGAATTGCTATTATTCTAATCACTCAAAATCAAAACCTCAGACTTATCTTTGGCCCATCTATTTTTTTTATCCCCTACATCAAGTCAGTTTCTATGTATTTAACAGTGCAATATTTATTACATTCATCAACCTTATTACATCCACACTGCCATTCACTAGTTTAGGCCCTCATCACCTCTCACCTGGAATATCATAACAGCTCCTAACTGGCCTCTTTTTCTCCATTCTCTTCCCATTCCAATATGTCCTTCCCATAGCTACAAAAATTATCTTCCTATTGAACAATCTTCTCAAAAGCCTTTCATTGCCTATTCCCTATAATTGTTTTTAAATGGACCCTTTGGACTAGCAGTTGAGTCCCTTCACAGTTTCACTCTACTCTTTTTGTCATAGTTTATGTACCAACAAAACAGTTGCATAATTTTTGTGAGCTGTTCCTAATTTGCATCCAATTATCTCCTATACAGGCTGTCATTGTCTGGAGTGCATTTTCTTCAAGTCTCCACCTGGCAAAATCCCCTTGGTGCCACTCTCTCAAAAATGCCTTTCCTGGTTAGCTAATCTAAAAATCACCTCTTCTCAAATTTCTTATAATATTTTACTTATGTTTCTTATTTGTCCTTATCATATTCTATCTTATATAAATACTAATGGGTTAGTTGACTGATAGATTGGTTGATTGTATCATACTTATTTATTTATGTACTATGTCCTCTCCTTCTCCCATTATATGTTGATATGCTTAAATTCAGGGACCATCGTTTTTAATCTTTCTATCAAGCACATGGTCTGATACCTTGTGTTTATTAAATGCTTGTTGAATTGAATTAAAATTCACTAAATGCTTATTAACTGATTAAAATTTAAGGGATCATATCTATAAAGTAGAGGTGTTATTTGAATGTACTGTACTATCTGAAATTTGTTTCATGCCATAATGTTTTTATTTTGTAGGATGAAAGTTCTATAGAAAGTGATGAGTTTGATATGAGTGATTCCACACGCATGTCAGCTGTGAACTCTGACCTTAGTTCTAACCTTGAAGAAAGAATGCAGAGTCCCCAGACTGTTCCTGGTCAGCAAGATGGTAAGCATGTTGATTTATAATAAAAATGCAATGAATATGAATCTAATACAAATTCTTTCTCTCTCAGTGTCATTTATTTATCTGTTTCTATGGGATCTAATTCCTAGCCAACAATTTCTATTCAACTAATAAATTTTGGATTCAAATATTTTTAGTTTGAACTTGTATATTAGGTTTGTTTGTGCCGTATAAAATTATTTACAAAATCAGTAATATGATGCATCTCTGCAGATTTTCATCCCCATAAGGCTCTCCCTCCTATGTTCCCTGAACATAATTTATATTTTTGCTAAATACAGTCTAGTTGAGTTTGTCTCAATCTTTCAGGAATACAATGCAATTCATGATGATTTCTAATATTGACTTTATTTTAGAAAAGTAAAATCACTATAAATGGGTTAAGACTTTAATCAAGAATAATTTGATTGTTTTTGCTTTCAAATCATAGTTTACAATGAAGAATTCAAATCGTAATAACTATCTAATGCACTTAGAGTGTTTTTGTTGTGAAAACAAATATTTTGCTAAATTTCCTATTTTTGTCATGCTGTTTTCCATTTTAATGGGAAAATGGAGAGACAATTTCTACTCTTGATGTCTATTAGATGTGAAGACCCTTAAAAAATGGACTATATCAGGAATATCCCTCTGTTTCTCTTGCTGAGGGAGATACCAAATTCAAGAAACTGGAATGTCAACAAAGTTTGTGGCATTTAGAAGTTCATCTTCTCTCACATAGGATTTTAGCATATCAGAATTATGTTGAATTATATAGAAATTATGTAGAAATCACTTTAAGTTATTTCTACTATCTTTGGAAATTACCATTTTCATAGGTACAAAATTCTACATACAAGTAATTTTTTCCCTTCTTTTTGGCTAATTATGTATAAAATCTGCTCTTGGAGGCTTCTAGCTAGATAGAAGGTGGCTAATTTTAACCATAATTAGTTGATTTTTTCATGCAATTATCTAACTATAAAGGGAGTTATTGCCTGTATAGTTTTGCACCTACAAGTAATTGCAGAAACTAAAAATTGCTTGTAGCAAGAAAAGGGGGGCCTACTGTGTTTGTGTTTCATCCTTCCTAGAAAACATAAGTTGCACAATTCCTGTTAGTTTTCTTAGATGCTATTTGTGTTTCATGGATATGATGAAGTCTGAGAAAGCCCTAATTAAAAAAAAAACACAGGGGCTTCAAAAAAGCCCCTTTCTCCTTCTTTACAGAGTTGTCTAAAGGCCATAATTACCCTTAATTGCAAGAGGTTTAGAAAGAGGTGTTTATATGGGCATCATCCATAGTACTGGTGGCTTTAATACTGTCATATTTTTTAACAACCTTATAATAGCAAGGTTATTGGAACAGACAGGGCATTTCGCCAGGAACATACAAAGAAAGATGTTTTGCTGGTTAAGAAATAAAGTATCTTGTATTCTTGTCTAAAATATTAGTATATATAGCTCTGGGTTAATGGAATGGTTTATTGGAATGGACATCAAACCCAGATAAGCTGGCAAAAGGTTTAAGATATTACTTTCTATCTATGTTTGGTTTTTTATATATCATTCAATAATGTCAGTATATAGTTTTGGTGAATAGTGAACAATGAGTCAGTTATTCTTTTGCTATAGAATTGTTTCCTTGAAAGAAATTGCTTAGCTTTGGTGCTGGGATGCAACTGATGTATCTGACAAATCAATACTGACTTGAACAAAATATAGTGGAAGAATGTGAAGTATAATTTATGCTGGGAAAGGTATATTCTTCTATGGTTTACTGGTTGGTTTTGGGGAAAAATATTAGAGAGATCCTGTCTTTGTTCCAAGAAATCTTATCAAGCTTCAGTGGACCCACACAATTTGAACCCTCCTTTGTTCTATCAAGCTGTTCCTATGAACATATAACCCTTAAAAATATGAAGAGTTGAAGAAAATATGGTTAGTACTACATAAGAAGTTTTTTTTTTAATATGTGAGCCAATAATTAGAACTTGCCATTTTCTCTTGAATTATCACTTTGGACATTTTGAAATTGTTTTGATTTTTTTTTTCTAAACACTCTTGTTTCATAACAAAGTAGTAACTCTTCAGTGGACCCATGGCATCCTAACTAGGCCTCTTCTATAGAAAATAAGATTCTTCCTGAAAAATAAGTTACTCTTCCAATTGTGTCTTAATTCATCTTTTATTAAAAATACTTAATCCTTCATTAGTCTAATTATTTTCTATGTCCATGAATTGATAATTGACTTATGAAATTTTGAAATGGGGTAGACATGCCCTGTTCTTAGCATACTAGTCAGGAAAACATCTGAAAGCAAGACTGCAATCATACTTTAATCAGGCACAAGAGGTATAGAGGAAAACAGGCACAGAAAACACAGAAACAAGAAGCAAAAGTGGGCCCAGAAGAAGATGGCATGGGGATGGGGGATAGGGAGGTGAAGGAAGGCAGGCAGTGTGAGGAAGAAGACAGGGAGGGGATGAGTCACTTAGGTACCTGCAGTTAGAGCTGAGAGCACATAAGAAACATGGACCCTTAGGAGATGAGAGAGTGAGTGCTCAGAGGGTAGGAGTTTGAGGTCTCATTTCATAGGGTTGTTTGGGGAACAGACTAACTCTTCTTTGTGCTGTCTTGGGGTTAGTTCATTACCAAATCCGAATCATCTCAAAGTTGTTGGTAAAACATCAAAGTAAATATATGCATGTTATCTCAGAGTTACCAGCACCATTTGGTCTTCTGCTGGTCTCACTACGGGTATCTGGAACTTGCCTGAGATTTACATATCGTAGGACCCCAAATCCCTGACAGCAAAACCTAAATGGCTTCCTCTGATTTAGCACATGTTACCAGGGTGTGATTTTTGATTAGTAAATTATGTGATTTGTGAATTATTCCTTTAAAATATAGGATGATTTGCATGTGACTTGTAGATTCCCATTTGCAATCTTCCTATTATTGCCACTTTACACTGGTTACTTATAAACTTACTATGCTGACCAGAAGGTTCAAGGGGTTGAGGAGGGAAGGACTGGTCAGGGAGACCAAACAAGATACAGTTTAAAACAGTCCATAACACTACCGCTGATAATGGCTGATTTTTGTATTCCTTTGTGGATACAAAGGACTCTCACAAATGTTGTTTCTTTTGATCCATGTAAAAATAATCTTGTGAGATACAATCTAAGTATTCCCCTGTAGATGGGGATATTTAGGCTCAGTCAAGTGACTTGCCCTCAGTCACCTAGTTAGAATCTTAGGATCTAGAACTCAAAAAGACCTCAGAACTAGTTCAAGCCCCTCATTTTACAGATGAGGAAACTGAGGTCCAGGAAGTTAAAGTGATTTTCCCAAGGTCACACATATGGTAAATGTTAAATGAACAATTTGAACCCTGGTCCTCTAATTCCAGGGTGATCTCACTTTCCACTTGAACTTCAGACCCTCTTTGCACTGACCTGCAAAAGAAATTAGCTACCTGTTGTTGTTATTTTATTGTGCAACTCCAAAAGGTAAAGTTTCTTGTCCATTTACTTGAGCTGTATAACAACTTTTCACAATGCCACATGCAAACAAATGTGTTGAGAACTTTATTTAGTCCATAGCTGGCATTTAATGAATTCTTCTGCATGGAGTTGATGAAGAAAGATGATGAAGAGCAAGTTTTCCTTCCTCCCTACTTCCACTACTGGTATAGATCGATGGTGATGATGATGATGAGGAAGAGGAAGACATTGTTTAAGATGGTCATATAAACCATTAATTCAAATTAACAAACATTTGTTAAGTGTCTGCTATGTGCAAGACATATTACTCTACAGACATAGAGCCCTGAAGTTAAATGACCTTCGAGGCTACATTTCGCCTAATCTTTGATGGGAAATACTTTGATGGTAAGAAATAGATTTTCTAGGAACTTGAGGAAAAGATAGTAATAACAATAGTTAACATTCATATAACACCTATTATGTGTCAGGCATTGTGCTAAGCACTTTACAATTACTGTCTTATTTGATCTTCACAACAACCATGACAAGTAGGTGCTATTATTATCCCTGAGGAAACTGAGGCAAACAGAGATTAAGTGACTTACCCAAAGTTACATAGCTAATAAGTGCATGAGGCCAGATTTGTACTCAGATATTCCTGATTTCAGACCTAGTGCTCTATCCATTGCACCACTTAGCTCTTCTTCTTACTCCCATCCAGAATTCTTCTCCAAACCTGCTGACATTTGACCTTCTGAAACATGGTACTGGGGCTTCTTGGGCACCAGCGCCTAGCTTCATGACTTAACACAAAAAGCTGGGTAGTCAGGTGGGCACCTTACTTCCTACTTGGGGTTTGGGTCCAACCTTGCCCACTCCATGGAGGTCAGCACAAGCAACCCTCTCCAGGGCTACAAAGATTTCCTCCTAAACACAATGGGAGCCCACACGTCTTCTCAATTTCATTGCTTGGGATCCTGGACCATCATTAGCCATTGGTAGCCCTCAGGGAACCATCTCCCTAGAGCCAGAGCTGGGTTGGATCTGCATTACCCTCCTAAACCAGAGTTCTCCAGTTCCAGATTCTGCTTTCTTTCTCACCTAGAAAAAGGAGCTGCATGCACCTGTATAGTGCTGGTCTCACGCCCCTCTTATCAGTCTCTCTCACCACTTTGTCACAAGGCTCTGTCCATCCACAGCAGTCCTTACCATTATTGTTTTCTTTTCAGAGAAATAAAAGTGCTGTCAGTTTTGCCCTGGCAAAAATGTCCTGACCTCAGGCAAAGTTCCACAGGCTTTGAACTTTGAAGATAAGAGGAACAGGAGCAGGGTGTGTTCTTGACTGCTGGCTGAACTTTTACGTGAGGTTGAAGGAATAGGAACACAAGGGAGATATCTATAGCAATAGGAATGTAAAGGAGACACTTCAGAGTATAGATATCTTTTAAATTGTAATACTGCTACAAAAGAGGATTATTAAATATTCCCTTCTGTCATACTAAGATGCATTC